AAATTAGACTTTAAATTGAAACTTAATCTAATTGCAAATGTTAATATTGACACATCTGAAATCTACGTAATTCTTGGAAAGTTGATGTCTTGTAAACAGCAGTCAACGTTCAATCTAACTGAGACTCATAAAAGTGCTGTGAGAAGAACATTTTCTAACATCAAAGAAAGGCGGACTCCAAGTTATGGAACGGAATTACGATTTTTACATAATAATACAGAATGGTTGAATGGAACTTCAAGAATTAGAAGAGGTTATCGGGCACTCCAGTGCAGGTAAACCTTCTTCAAGCTTTGAGTCTTTATCCAACACAAGTAAGCGCCGAAAGACTGAAGTCGTCTGTATATCGCGTCTGCTACTTTAAAAATTGTAATTTCAGTAATCAATTTGCAATCAGTGTTCGTAAATTTTTATTAAATTTTTTGACTTGTTAGTAAGATTAAATCCACGATTGCCATCCGAAAATCGAAATTTTGATAACGGACTTATTTAGTACTGCACAGTATTAGTTGTATAAAAAGTACATATATCACTAGGTCTTGCAGCGGTCAACGCATCTCACGCACCCCTAACGCACGTAACTCTTAGTAGTTAGTTATTCTACACCCACCCTCCTCCGCTACTGCTGTAACGCTATCTTATAACGATACAAAATGCATTGTCTCTTTGTTCATTGTTGGATAATTGATTTAGACAGTGGACTGTACAAATGTTAATAATGAGTCTATCAAATGAATGTTAGAAAAAAGTCGCACTACTCAGAGAGCCTGTAACACTCCTATATTTTTAAGATAATAGAAGAAAGTGATAGTAAAAATTTTTCTCGTCCAGATGCAGCAGAGTCCAAAAAGTTTTATTCTATTTAAGTCATGGGCAATTAGAAAAAAATATTTTAACAATTAACACCTTATTCTAAGTGTCTGTCCATTCCGGTCCTCGAAAACTGATGGTTTTCGTAAAATGATCTATATATATGCGTGTGTATGTATATTTTCTAATAGCACGACAAAATAATAAGTAGATCTCAAAAAAAGCAAAACAAAACTTTTTAAATTAAGATAAAACTGTTTACTGTTCGGAAGAATTTAAAGAATGCTACTTTGCATATAAATAAAAATACAAAGTTTTTTTAAAACACATACTTAATGCACGTGGATGGACACATCTGTAACATTAACTGTTAAACTTAAGTTTTTTTTAAAAATAACCTTCAACTTTTTTTATTTTATATCTTAGATACTGTAACTTAATTATCGTTTGTTTTTTTGTTGTTTGGTTTGTTTTAGCCATTTTCAAGTGTTATGTTATTAAATACAGATAAGGTATTGATAATGCAGTCAACCTAACTCTTTTGTGATAAGAAATAGACATTTGGATAATCCCACATGTTTATTTTTCGTTAAAAAAATGTGTTAGCTAAGAATTTTGATACTAACAGTCTGAACAAGTAACACGTTGACATTTTGATTGAGATTTTTAAGCAAAAAACCCTTATTCTTACATTTAATATAATACTTCGTTTCCAGTACGTTTTTTGTTTTGCGTGCATCTTAAGCATTTTTATTTTTTTTTATTAAACTGCTTGTAAAATAATACCAAATTAAAATCACTGACAAGGAAAACTTTCAAAATGTCTACCTTTGGTTAAAATAAAGCTGATATATGTTGCAGGCGATCAAAAAACAGAGACATGAAATTTTTGTATCAGCCAAAAAAACATCCTAAAGTAATCAAAACAGCACTTAAAGATCACACCTCAAAATTTATTTTTCACAATATTAGGAATTCTCATTGAGATTATTTTATAATAAAACCAGTGGACAGTGGGTGCTTGGGTATCAAAGTATAAAGTTATACTTCTATAAAACTATACGGCTAACAACGTAATTTTAAGTGTAAAAGTACCTTCTGTGAAACAATATTGTGTACGAAGGTGGTGCAATTATCAAGGAAATGAGTATACGTACGTTGATTGGGTGTGATTTTAATTAATATTTGATAAGTTAAAGATTATAAACAATATATTACGACACAATACAATAAAAATAATATATAGGCTGGCCAGTACATGACTGTGCACTTTCATCAAATGTTCTGGTAATTTTAGAACAATATTCTACTGCCTACGCTAATAACATCTGTAACGTCACGCTCACATCGATCACGTACAATACACACTTGTTTCTCGTCCATATTTGATACCCAACAAATAATTGTACGTAAAAAATTAAGAAAAACCATAATGTAGTATAGCTTTTTTCAATAGGGTAGTTTTACATGCCAGTTAATGTCCTTTCGGGACGTTCATTACACATAGGTATTTTTGACAGATATTATTCAAGCGTCAAACGTATACTAAAATAGCATCAAAAACACCCACAAAAATTGTAGCTCGTTTGACTGTACCATTATTTTATACATGATACATTTTTAAAAATGAATTGTAACGTACGATAGTATAGGTGAGACTCTACGCTCCCTCTCCTCCAACCTCATAACGAGGGGCCCTAGGGCCAAGGGAAGGGAAGAGCGAGCAAGGAGAGAGTCTATTCGGGGAGTACACGACGAGCCTTTGTAGGGAACACACGTGTTATCTTGCCTATGATTACGGTATTTTGAATAAAGGTCCTTGAAGTAATGAGCGTTGATCATACTCGCGAAGCACCTCCTTACCAATGTCTTCCCTACGTAACAGTTTTGGTGCTTAGTGTGGGGTACGGTAAGAGTCGGAATTTTTTTTTATTTTTATTTTACGCGTTTCAAGAAAAATTCCGCCGAGAAGCACACATAGTGCAGTGCCACGAGAACGCAACGATTCGAAATCAAGAAGCCGAGGATCCAACCAGAAGCAAGAGTACCAGTTTACAAGCAGCGGTTACAGCAGCTCGGAAGCCAACAGGACTAGGGTACCAATCGCCGATAATCACAAAATCAAGGGGACAAAAGACGAGGGAAATGGTCTCCAAAACCTTATTTCTATTGATGTGCATATCGACTAGCACGTGAGTACATATTTAATAAAATTAATTGTATCCCTTACTTCCAAGGCAAAATAGGAGAGGCACTTGTTAGGTAGACATAAGAGCGTTGGATTTTTATTATTTTATTCTTGATATATATATATATATATATATTGGAATTATACTTC